ATATTATATCGCTGTACAGGAAAGCATGTTCAGAAGACTAAAGTTTGCTCGTTTTGTTATGACAAAGAAGATTCACTAAAACTTAGATCCATTATACGGCCATTCTAATGGACAAAGACATAAAAGCACCTACTAAATCTGTCTCTTATACACATCTAGATGTGTATAAGAGACAGGTATAGTCGCAACCACCAATGTAGAAACAAGAAAATTAGAGAAGTACTAAAGGAAATATATTACAAATATTATTATCATTTGTAGAACTCTATATAAAACAATAGTGTAAAGGAAATGAAACAGTTATTGACAGATTAAATAATGTTTTTTTGAAAATCTGACAATAATAATATGAACATTAACGCTGACGGCTATGTCCATTGCTAATAATGTTATTTGTATTGATACTCACATGGAATAACATTTGCATATCTGTTTTTAGTTCTATTCTTGGCGTGTTTTGCAGCGGTCCAGGGATACAGGGGCGTGTTGCCAATGTCCTGTTATGAAGAAATTATCATTTAATCCAACCGCAGAAATAGCAAAAAAATTGATGACAAAAAGAATACATTTATGTATTTGTTTTATTCTATATTTCACTTTATTTAATCAGGGAGGAACGTTTCATATCTTTTTACAAGATTAGATCAGGTTTATCCTACTACATTTATTTTAGAAGATAAAGATGACGACACCAACACCAAAACCATCAAAATCATCATCATCTTCATTCTCATCATAATCATCATGATTGATAAAACGAGTACAAGAGTATAGAAAAAGTATAAACATACCTCAAATTCCTTTTCAAATCCGCTTTTTAAGCTACTGTTTTGTTTCTTCACGTAATCGTGCAGAAATGCTAATTCAATCGGTCTGTATTCCTGATTTTCTAAGTTTGTATTTCCATAAACAGGTTCAGAGTTCGCGTACATGTTTTCAGTTAAAGGAGCACCATCATCCTCATCATTCGGACTTTTCACATCTACTGCATTAGCATGACCCTCAACTGCAGGCATCAATTCATTTTCATTATAAATTAATAAAAGCAATGTACATACAATAATTTTGATTATGATGTTGATGATGAATTGAATATGACTATAACATTATTGATTATAAGATGCCTTTAACATGTTCTCCAATCAAGCTTTTCTTTAAACAACTTTGAAGTGTACTGTGCAATGGAAAATCATCTTGTATTTTTAAGACATTATGGGAACGGTTTAGACATGTTACAAATTAAAGTTAGTTGTTTTCATGTACAAAAACCATCTAACCTGAGTCGAAAACAACTTGTTTTTGAGCAACATCATGTCTAACAACTTCTTTGCTTGAATTACGGCGTCTACAAGCACAATCAAAAGCATTGTTTACATAAAAAAAAATATAACACACTGGTGAATTAAAAAGTGTTAGAGATTGACTTTGGGAAAGTTCTTGAAATAATTAGAAATGAATTATTTGTACACTCTAATTACCTTATCTACTGATATTATTAAATTTGTTATTGATTAACAGTATGGATACTATTAACAATATGGTTAAGCTAGAAACTAGTTTGTAAGGAATACATATGGTGTGTACTGTTAGATATATTTAAATATAAATATAATAAAGTCAAATAAAACAAAATGATAGATTGTGAAATATTAAATAACATGAAATAAAAACAATCATAAATAAAAATAATACACAATCACAGATTTTGAAAAATATCAATTTATTTTTTTAGCTCTAAGCCTTTCCCAATTATCAGGAAAGTGAATTGTATCAGAACCTGCCCTGCCCCCTTTTGTGTGATTTATTTTACAGGTAAATTGTGCTACATATTTGGCCAACTTTAATGGTATAGGTTGAGGATAGGTTCATAAACATACATTTTGTTGATTTAAGAGTTGGTATAATTTGCTTAATCATTTCATTGTAATTAAATTACTGCTAAAATTATTACCGTTTAACAAAAATCAAGACAAAAACAATCGCACCGGCTGCCACAGATAAACCTCCGATAACACCACCTACTATAGCACCTGGAAATAACATACAAATACAAAGCATTAAACCGATACCTGGTGTGGCCATTTATTGGATAGTAAATCACTAACAAATGAGTGTGTAATATCTAATAGTCATCATCTTAGTTTCTGAATTTAGTAAAAGTTTTGTTCCTCTAAATCTTAGATACCATTAATTAAGTACCTTTTTGTAAACTTTGTAATCAATATTATATGCATTTTATATGTATATTTATTATGAGTAATTATATATCATAAATTTGTTTACAGAATTCATTGATAGACAAATACATTTATTTGTAAACAAAAATTTATCCCCATTGAATTTGTAAAGGCAATACAACTATACTATAGTTGCAGATCTGTATGAGAAAAATAGGCAGGTAGTTCACAGTTTAATAATATTTGATGTGATATTTATTATAGGAGCTGCTTGTAAATTTATTTCTGACTAGAGGAATTTCAGAACTGTAATAGTGAAAACAACATTGTGATGAACAAACTTCATCATAATATTTTTGTTAATGTTGGCTGCAATCATTACTATCTTGTATTTGGTGGGCTATATTATATCGCTGTACAGGAAAGCATGTTCAGAAGACTAAAGTTTGCTCGTTTTGTTATGACAAAGAAGATTCACTAAAACTTAGATCCATTATACGGCCATTCTAATGGACAAAGACATAAAAGCACCTACTAAATTGCGTACCTTTGCCAGGGTTATCTGCATCGGTAGACACATAACCAGCATCTGAGAAATTACCGAAGCCTTTTTGAGTTCTGGCTGCAATCTACATATTTGAGAAAAAATAAATCAGAGTTACTACAGTAGGACAGAAGATGGGTATAGTCGATTTTCGACCCTAGTCAATTATTGAGCACACTTGCATATTTAGGCAGAGTTTATTTATTCTGGTTTATTCACATCAAATATATATGTCATAGCAGCACATAGCTGGAGAAATATTTACAAAATTCAACATTAAAAAGTGAAATTACTGTATATACTTTAGATATAAATAGTAAAAAACACTAAAATAACAATAAATATTATATAGAAAATTAAAATAGTACCAAATTAAAACTATTACAAAGCTATATTGGAAAATATAGTTACGATTATTAACCAAGTTTATTATGAATTGATTTTTCTCATTTAAATTAGTTTGAATGTTTTATTTATGATTATTTAAGTTGGTTATAATTATTTTATTTACAAATTTGAAATTTCATTATTAAAAAAAAGATATATCATTTATTTAGTAATTTAAAGATCAATGGGAAAGAGGATTTTTTAAAAGGTTCTGTACAGCAAAAATATTTGTTTATCTTCCCACTATTTCTCAGTGTTCTCTTATTTATTTCGCCTCTCTGTATTCTAATAGTGTTTGGAACAATATAATTTAGGATTTTACAAATTCCATTAGGAGTTCATCTCTTTTCTCATCTAATTGAGTAAAATTTTAAAGCACATGCATTGGTCTTCATGCATAATCGATCTTCGGTTTGCAAACTCAGTGGAAGACCTAATACTTATTATTTTTAAAAATTATTTGGTTATTCTTACTGTTAATTTAACTAATATATTTTAATGATAATGATCTATGGCTAAAATCTACTTTGTTGTTGCAGATTGTTTCTACTACTTTTTGTTATCTGTATTTTTATTGTATACAATAATTCTATTATCTTTTATTATCTAATTATTTGTTTTCTACAAAAAATGCACTCTTTTTATAATTATAATGTAATGGCATCCATATTATAACTGCGCATATTTCAAATGCTATAAACACAGTAATATAACACTAGTCAGATAACCTCAGGGATTTAAAACAAACCAGTCTGTAAAACTGTACCAAAATAATTATCATCAAAGTCTTCAGCTCACGAAGTGAACATAATTCCATATTTCAGCTTAATTGAGGAAAAAATAATGTATTTTACGAAGGCTTTCACGGTCATGTGTGTTGTTTACTGGAACAAATTGGTGTATTTCCTCATACCGTGATGTTTATACACTAGTGGGTAAGCGAGCGCACCCTCTAGTAATTCAATAATAATTGTACAATATAAATTTATACTGATGCTTGTTTATGCTCCCAACAAGGTTAAACTAGAAACTAGCTTGTAAAAAATCATAGTAAATAATAAATATTTAAAGTAGGTTTGCAGTGCAACACTGCACAACAAATAAAGAATAACAGGCCTACAGTGCTCTAATAGGAATTATTGATGTTAAGAAAATATGACCTTTAATAGACCCTGTTTATTTGCGCCTTATAAATCAATGTATTATTACTATTACCATTATTACTATTACCATTATTATTATTATTATTAATATTATTATTATTAATTTTTTTTTCGGTTGTCATTTGTATGAAGGAATGTCTCTGTAGAGATTCCAAGCTGCAGCCACTCGCTAACAAGGCAAGTGCTATACCGCTAGACCACAAATACCTAATTCGGTATAGGCCAGATGTAATCGCCACACATTTTCTCTCATGTAACTGATACGCTCGGACTGAATATCGAAGCCAAGATTTAGATAGGAAATGATATTTAAATTAGGTTTGCTGTGTAGACTTACAGCCCACTTATTGACCATGAAGTTGATTTTCCGTTGGCAGCAGTTGGCAATCAATCATTATCAAGGAATTGGAAAAACAAAAAAACAAAAAACAAAAAAAAAAACAAAAAAAAAACACATAAGCTCTGATAAAAATTAAAAACAACAAAGGAACTATCATCAATAAACAGGACAAAGAAAATGGAGTAATCGTGATGAACAG